TACAGTTTGTTTCACAAGGGCGGGCAAACATGCCAATTGCTCGTCGTGCTCTGGCAAAAGCCATTCCAATGAGCTGCTCTTGACCGTGTTCTTACCTTGCGAATCGAGCGCGACTGCCAATTGCCAAAACGTCGGCATGATATCCATCTCTGTCTACATATACTGGACGTTATAAAGCTCGTGAGAAGCACTCTCCGTTTTGTACTCTACATCCCCTACATCTGCCGGATTTACCTACAGTATATCAAAGTGAGTCTCTCCTTTGCGGAATCGCCTCTTTCGTCTGCCGCTTGCATGTGAATCGGCACCTACTCCATACCCTGGTAGATCTTCCGATCATCCGCCAATGATTGACAAAAATCATGACACCTACCATTTTCGTCACAAGCCCCGTCCAATGATCGCCTCAGCGCTTCTCTGCTGTGATCGTATACTTGCTGATCTTTGGAGCATTTCAATATTAAATAGGACTCGCCAACGTCGTTAATGTTTTGCTTGTCAAGTCTATCGGATACCCAACTCACCAGGCAGAGAGAGTAATTAGGGAACCAGAGAGGCGAGAGAGAGAGAGAGAGAAGAAGAAAAAAAGGGACAGAAAAGCAACTCGTCGTGGCAACAGCCGGGGCTCTTTTCCGTACAGTAGAACCGCAATCAAAATGCCTTCTCACAAGCCCATCTCTCTTTTGGCTACGCTGGCTTCCGTTGCAGCCGCAGCCTCTAGGATTTGTCCCAGCAACACTCCACTCTCATGCCACAACACCACCGCCGTCGACGACTCTTGCTGCTTTATCCCATCTGGTCAGCTGCTTCAGACTCAATTCTGGGATACCGACCCCTCCACCGGCCCTGCTGGTAAGTAGTTTCCTGTAGCCTGGCACGATGCAACTCAATATTACCTCCCAAAGTGGGGATGAATGCTTAACGCTGCTTGTGCTGCTAGATTCCTGGACCATCCATGGGCTGTGGCCGGACAATTGCGATGGTTCATTTCCCCAGACGTGCGATGCCAGCCGGGCATATTCCAACATCACTGACGTTTTGACTGCCATGGGTGCCGACGACACCCTCCACTACATGCAGACCTACTGGAAGGACTACCAAGGCAACGACGAGTCTTTCTGGGAGCACGAATGGGGTAAACATGGCACTTGCATCACCACGCTGGATCCCGGCTGCTACGATGACTACGTCCCCACCGAGGAAGCTGCCGATTTCTTCTCCAGGACCGTGTCGTTGTTCAAGACGCTGCCTACCTACCAGTGGCTGGCTGATGCCGGCATCACCCCTGACGGCTCAAAATCTTATGCCCTCGACGACATTCGGTCAGCGCTCTCCCAGCAGCACGGCGCAGACGTGACCCTGGGCTGCGAGGGCAAGAGTCTGAACGAGGTCTGGTATCACTTCAACGTCAAAGGCTCCCTGCAAGATGGCCAGTTTGTCGCCGCCGCCCCGGACGGCGCCAAGAGCACCTGTCCCGACTCCGTCTATTACGACCCCAAGGATGGGGGTGGCGATGGCGATGGCGACCGTATCCTCCACGGCTGAAACGGTAGACGGAGAGGCGATTTCGAGGGCAGACAGACCGACCCCAGAGCCAAGACAATACAAGGCAAGACACGACGGGGAAACAAAGAAACATGCCCTGTACAAGGCCAGAGTGTGGGGATCGGCGGACGGGACGGGGATCTTTTGTTCATGCATGTATATTTGCGAATTCGTCATGTATACTACCTCTACTACTCCTACCTACTACATTGCCATACATCCTGTGACTCGCCAGTAATGGCCATGGTCATTGTTTTGGCGATTTCGATGGACGCGCATAAGCTACTCGTACGAGTACCTATAGTACATACCATTGCCCCTTGCTATCCGCACCCTTGACGTCTGTGTATTTGCATCTTCTTGACGGCCCGAGAAGGCGGCTTACAAGGCACCAGACAAGTACATACGAGTATCGTCCTTGCTAGCTTAGTACGAGTTAGCGGCTGGCCACTGCTTTGGTGCCTGGAATCGATACTAAATACCTACAGACACAAGGCAAGGCACATACCGAAACCCGCTGCATCGGATTTGATGCCGGTGATAGTGGCATGGATTTGCCCCTATGACACGGACTGGTAGTCAGTTACTTAGTACCAACGACCAACTAAAAGAGCAGCGATGCAGAAACGGTGCCGAACCAGGGCAAGTGGGGCGGGATGACACGGGCCTGCGTGCGTCCTTGGCGCTTTCCCCATCCAACATCCACAATCCACTTTGCACCTGCACTGCACTTGCACTTGCACTTGTTGCAACTTGCGCTTTGCGTTGCGCTTTCTTCAGCAAGTAACGAAGCAACGGGCAAGCCACCGCAGATTTTCTTTAAAAGCGGCCAATGGTCAGGCACTAAAAGCCGCCCGCCCAATCACGGGCCATTCATGGGAATTAAAGCTGTCTGCCGCGCCATCTGGTTGGCTCCTGCCCTCATGCCTTGTTCCCCCCAACGCAACGGTAAGTACAGCAGCAGGCAGGTGCGAGCTACTTGGCTACTTCTCGTGAGCGTTCCTGCTCTTTTGCAACGCGGCTTTGTTCTCCGCGCAGAGACACTCCAGGGTTGAGTCTGACCTACTGCCGTGCGCGCTTCGTATTCCGCGCCTCGCAGGTCCGTGCTTTTTTTTTTTCTTTTTCCATCCCAATCTTATCGTAATTTTTCTTGACCTCGATTCCGATCACTCAACTTGATGAACCGTTTTCTTTTTCTTTTTCTTATATCGTAACCTCTGATCAATACTGCTTCGTCTTCATCCTTCTGCTCGATTCCTTTTCGATCGCCATGACAACAATCTAATCAAACATGCAGTCAGATGAGGGGGATGCCAAAAATTTTTCCTCGCTTAGCCCAACGGAGACCATTTCCGAGCGCCGACTTTCTCTCTCTTTTTGCTCCCCTTGCCCGGTTGTCATTTCCCGGCACGCCCTGTTCTTTCGTTCGTCTGGTTGGGGGCAGCAAAGCCCAAAAAACCGTGGCGCCACTGGGACGACCCCATATCCGTCGCATGGCCCCCCTGTACGCCTTTCCAGAAGCGCTTAGATGGCCTCGACCCATTGGGAAACGCCTCCGACTTGCCCGTCTTGCTGAGCTCAGGTCCGAGGCCACGGTTGATGGACGGCAGAGGCAAAAGCCACTGCCCACAAAGAGGCTGGCACGAGAACCAGCTTTGCCAGGCCTAGCAGGCCAAAATGGCCCGCCCAGGATGCCGCCAGTGCCTGCTGGTACGGTACGGTACTCGCACTCGTGCTGGGACTGGGACTGGGAACTGGACTTCCAGCCGCCCTCCACGGCCGACGACTAACCCCGCATAATGGTTCGCTGCTGAAACCGGCCCTTAACACGGCAATAAACTTGGTCGATACGCGTGGCGTCGACTTGCCAATGCCCATACAGAACTTGCTAATGCATGTTACCTGGGACGACTGAGAGACTGACAGGCACCCGCAAGTTGCCCGACGGAAGAGCATCGGAAAATACGTCGGAGGGACGCGGCTCTATGGCCTTGAAACGGTATGTCGATTCGCCGACCCTGGATTGCTCGAAAAATGCTCCGTTTCTCGTTGCGGTTGTGGTTTACGAGTATACGAGTGCTGCCCGTACTGTACGTGTTGTTGGACGACAAAGAGTGCGGATGAGTACCTGGCAGCAGTTCTCTCTTTGCCTTGTCTGCCCCCCCTTTTTTTCTCTATTCTCTTCTCTTCTCTTTTCTTTCCGTTCAACGAGCAACAATACTCCGTCAAGCCCCGTTGACAATGACCACGTTGTAATGCCGCGCCTCTGCGGCTCCCCTCACCCTTCCTTTCTCGATCGTGATGTGGCGGGCCCGGCAACCATGGAGAGGAACAAGCTCGAATTGAAGAAAAAGACGGAAACACCTGCTGGCAAGCACCAAGTGTGGTGATGCTACTAGTATCTCCGAAAATCCCTAGCTATCTAATGGCAATCGCCCTAAGGAGGCGCACCAATTGTGAATGCATCACTGCACCCCAGCATCTCCACTCACAAGTCCACCTCCACAAGGTGGTCCATCCCCATCCCATTCTCCATCCATCCATGAATCCATGACCATCACTTGGCCACCATCAACTCCGCCTCCACACCCATCGACGGCTTCCCTTGCTCGCCCACCCTGGCCAGGCCTGCTACCGGGGCCGCCCTCGCAAGGCTTGTTCTGATGGAGGCCCTCCGGTGCATTGCGTGAAGCGAACAGCAATAGAAATTGAGAGCGTCCCCATATATTAGTTCCATGATGGAGCTCTCTTGTTGGATTCTTTAACTGACACCCCCCCAGTCTCTGACCTGACTGTCACCTCTCTCACTGCATTGTCATCATTGCTCTGTCTGTGTCATTGTCTGCTGCTCTTGCCATTGCTAGGCTGGCAGCCGTGTAGCTCGTCAAGGCGCGCTCGCGATACCGGGTTTTGCCTTTTTACCTTTCCCCTCTTTATGCCTCGGGCTCAAAAGTGAGAGGAGAGCCGTCGTCCGCGAGTCACGTCTCCGTCAAAGAGGCCGATTTGATTTGCTGCCGAATTTATCATCTGTGAAGGATGCCGGTCTAACGAACAATCAATCCGTTTCATCTAAACATCTTTCATTGGGTGCCTTCTCGTTTGTGGCAGAAGCCTTCATTGCTCGAGCCTGGCGCATTTTCTGCGCATTTTCCTGTATAGTGGTTTGCTTCCCTTTTGAGGGCTACAGCCCCGTCTCCTCAACGCAGCTTTCATCGAAAGGATAAACCAGCACCAGCAACAACAGCTCAAGTTTCCACGCAGCCACCGCTTTGAAGGCATCTCGGACTGAGTATTCCGGTCCTGCTTTCGAACCGTGCTTTGGTGTTCAGCCATCTCCTCCTATTTCGGCGCGCGCTCTGTGCCCTACCTACCAACACGCCCTCAACAAAAGAGCAACTAATAACCATACGTTTCATCATCCTCATCATCCTCGAATTAATAAACAACGCGCCACAATGTTGTCCAATCCTCTCCGTCGCTATTCTGCGTATCCCGACATCTCCTCGGCGTCTTTTGACCCGAACTACCATGGATCTCAATCCCATCTCCACTCAATAAACGTAAACACGTTTAACAACAACGGTCACCCCTATCCTATGCAACACCTTTCTCAACACGCAGAGCTTTCAAACTCGCGTATGATAAGGGCCAACCCGGCACAGCCCAAGCAGCGCCAGGGTTCTCTTGTTGTTGCCAGAAAGAATTCCACAGGGACTACTGGGCCAATCAGGAGGAGAATCAGTCGCGCCTGTGACCAGTGCAACCAGCTACGTACAAAATGCGACGGTTTACACCCTTGTGCCCATTGCATAGGTATGACACCTTGCCTTCCTACAAGTATAAAGCAGCCTTGACAGAAATGTACTAACCGTGTGCTATAGAATTCGGCCTTGGCTGCGAGTATGTCCGAGAGAGAAAGAAGCGAGGCAAGGCTTCGCGCAAGGATATCGCTGCCCAGCAGGCGGCTGCCGCGGCGGCACAGCATCCTGGCCAGGCCCAGGATGGCCCAGAAGATCGCAAGCTTTTACGCCAGCAGAGCGAGTCTTCACGTGGCAGTATAGAACTTCCCCAAGCAGCCCATGACCAGCCTCATGGTCACATAGAGGGCTCCGTCAGCTCCTTCAGCGACAATGGGCTGTCCCAACATGCTGCGATTGGGTCGATGGATGGTCTTGAAGATCATCACGGCCACGTCGGAGTTGACCCTGCCCTGAGCAGAGGTCAGTTAGAACCCTCGTCCGCAATGGGGTTGGGTCCATATGGCGAGGTTCACCACAGCTATGACAGCCCCGGCATGAATGGGCATGTAATGGTAGCCCCTTCGTATGGCCAGACGCAGACCACCATGCCCGGGTATTCGGGCATCAACTACGCTACACAAGCCCCGAGTCCGGCCACTTATAGCAGCGACGGCAACTTTCGACTCGGCGCCGGTCACATCCAAGAGTACCCCATGGCAAATGGGAGCTCACCTTCGTGGGGAGTCTCACTGGCTTCGCCTTCGGGCCAGTTCCAGCTTCAGCTTTCGCAGCCCATTTTCAAGCAGAGTGATCTGCGATACCCCGTCCTCGAACCCCTACTGCCTCACTTGGGCAACATCCTCCCCCTCTCGCTGGCCTGCGATCTGATTGACCTGTACTTTTCCTCCTCTTCGTCGGCGCAAATGCACCCAATGTCCCCATATGTTTTGGGTTTCGTGTTCCGAAAGCGCTCCTTTTTACACCCCTCGAACCCAAGAAGGTGCCAGCCCGCGCTGCTTGCGAGCATGCTGTGGGTGGCGGCGCAGACCAGCGAGGCGTCTTTCCTGACGAGCCTCCCCTCCGCCAGGAGCAAGGTCTGCCAGAAGCTGCTCGAGCTGACCGTGGGACTTCTTCAGCCCTTGATCCACACCGGCACAAACAGCCCATCCCCCAAGACCAGCCCGGTAGTTGGTGCGGCCGCCTTGGGAGTCCTCGGGGTTGCCATGCCGGGTTCGCTGAACCTGGACTCCCTGGCCGGCGAAACGGGTGCGTTTGGAGCCATAGGAAGCCTCGACGACGTCATTACCTATGTGCATCTTGCCACGGTCATCTCCGCCAGCGAGTACAAGGGTGCCAGCCTGCGGTGGTGGGGTGCCGCGTGGTCTCTAGCCAGGGAGCTCAAGCTTGGCCGCGAGCTACCGCAGGGCAACCCTCCTGCCAACCAGGAGGACGCTGATGCCATCGACGAAGACGTGGATGAGCACGACTTGAACAGAAACAACACACGCTTTGTGACGGAAGAGGAGCGGGAGGAGCGGCGGCGAGCGTGGTGGCTTGTTTACATTGTCGACAGGCACCTGGCTCTCTGCTATAACCGCCCCCTGTTTCTCCTGGATAGCGAGTGCAGCGACCTCTTCCACCCCATGGACGACATCAAGTGGCAAGCCGGCAAGTTCCGCAGCCACGATGGGGGCAACATTGACAGCTCCATGACAGATGAGTTTGGCGACAGCCCGCGTGTTGCTCGCGGGGCTCATTACGAGTGTCGTGGTCGTAGCATCTTTGGCTATTTCCTGTCTCTGATGACCATCCTGGGCGAGATTGTCGACGTTCATCACGCAAAGAGCCACCCGCGATTTGGCGTCGGATTCCGCTCTGCGCGGGACTGGGACGAGCAAGTCGCTGAGATCTCCCGGCACCTGGACATGTATGAAGAGAGTCTGAAGCGGTTCGTTGGGAAGCATCTTCCCATGGCCGCAAAGGAAAAGGAGCAGCATGAGATCCACGACAACGGAGCCGTGCCGGATATGCAGTCTCCGCTCTCGGTGCGGACCAACGCGTCCAGCCGCATGACGGAGAGTGAGATCCAGGCCAGCATCGTGGTGGCCTACAGCACCCACGTGATGCACGTCCTCCACATTCTCCTCGCAGATAAGTGGGATCCCATCAATCTTCTGGATGACGACGACTTGTGGATTTCGTCAGAAGGCTTCGTGACGGCAACGAGCCACGCGGTCTCGGCTGCCGAAGCCATCAACCAGATTCTTGAATTCGACCCGGGCATGGAGTTTATGCCCTTCTTTTACGGCGTCTACCTCCTCCAGGGATCCTTTCTCCTCCTCTTGATCGCCGACAAGCTGCAAGCTGAAGCGTCTCCAAGTGTCATCAAGGCATGTGAGACCATTGTGCGAGCACACGAGGCTTGCGTCGTGACTCTGAGCACGGAGTATCAAGTAAGTCTTGTCATCCCTTAGGGAACATTTGTGTGTGAATCAAGGGCTAACAGGTATATCAGCGAAACTTTAGCAAGGTCATGCGAAGCGCGCTTGCTCTGATTCGGGGGCGTGTGCCAGAGGATCTAGCCGAGCAGCAGCAACGACGGCGCGAACTCCTCGCGTTGTACCGATGGACGGGTAACGGAACCGGCCTCGCCCTTTGAAGACATGAATCGACGGTACCGAAAGAACCGGACGAGATGAGCAATACCAAAGGGGAAAACAAAACAAGTAACGAAGAGGGCGACCCAGTGATGGTGGCCTTTGTTTCAACATTTCAACATTATGGCACAGATGAATATCCGTTTCAAGTCTATTAGCAAATATGTGTCAAGGTTGGTTGGTTCTATGGTGTTGGAGGATATTTTCATTTCTTGGATACTGTGACGGATAGTTTAGGCGGATTGAGGCGCCTGGTCAGGCTGGCAAGAGTTATGAGCGACATTATGGTTATGATGGAAAAGATATCCCTGTGATGGTGTGTACGGCAGACATTTGGTTCTAGGATGACATTTTTATCTGTGTATTGGTCAAGAACATGTTATCTGTATATTGGTATAGGTTATTTTGGCTACTTTCTCCCATCTTGGCGATGGTGGGCTATTTGCTGAGCGCACGAATTCAAATTGTTGTATGTCTAGGCGATGACAAGCTTTTCGACTGACTGTGCAGTTTCTCTTCCGACATGATGGTGACAGTATAAAATGGAGGTGTCGAAGTGTTTGATTGTATAGTTTGAAGCAACTTTGCTGAGATGATGTGGACAGACAAATGGAGATGGCTGGTAGCAAATCGATTGTGACTTATTCACTGCGGCTGTGGCCCCATGCCATGGGCAAACATGTTACGAAGCAGGCCAGGCAGCAGAGGCTGTAGATGGAGCAGAAAGGGGGGCTGGTTGGATTCACAGCAACAATAGGGGAGTAAGTTGTATGTCTGTTTGACGTGTCTATTTGTAGAAGCAAAAGGGGGGGAAAAGTGTTTGTTGGTGGTACCGGCCGTGGTTTGAAACGAGAGCGAGAGATGAAGAGTGGCATTGATTCACCTTGGTAGTAACGGATGGGGGGGTTTTATTGTTTTCTGTTGTTCTCTTTTTGTTTTGTTTTTGGCGGCATGTTCGAGGTTTTGGATAGATAGATGGGTTGTATTTATGTTTCTCTTGCTATCATTATTTTCTCCTCTTGATTTCTAGTGTTGTTATATATATTTTGTTGAAGACGAAGGTTATTTGGTATATGTGAAGCGGGAAGTGAAGTCAAGGTGAAGCTGGAAAAAAAAAAGAGGTTTGTTTATTTTCTTCCAATAGGTGAAAAACCCCCACTCCCTTCTTTCTCCCCCCTCTTTCTTTTTCTTCTCTTCCTCTCCATATGTGCATGCTTCATTCACTTTTTTCAACTACGATTTTTCTTCTCTTGCAATCATCGCCGTTTTTTTTTTCTAGCGACGACATTGTAAGCTGCTTGTTTGACCGCCATCACCATTACCGATATTCTCGTTTTTCCCAGAACAAAAAAAAAAGGTCTTTTCTACTGCCAGTGCCAGACACACACACACACACACGGAAAGAGAGAGAGAGAGAGAGAGAGAGAGAGAAGAGAAAAGTCTCCGTCTATCTATAAAAGCAGAAGAACCATGCCCTCCACACAGAGTTCAAACTGGACTCGGAGCTTCCACTGCTTTTGGAAGGCGGGAAAGAAAACATAGTCGACGCGAGAAAACGATTTACCTTCTTCTTTTCTCTCTCTCTACCTACCTACGCACACTGCTTGTTTTCGTTTTTCGGGTTTTTTTGTTGTGGCTTTGTGCTCTTCTCTTCTTCTTCTTTCTTTGTTTTTGTTAACGGGATTCTGCTAGGACGCTACTCTTTTTTCTCTTGAGATATTATTACCTTCTCTGTTTGGTGATTCTACGATTTGGAGAGGAGCTGGGATTGTTTGCTTGTTTTTTTTCCCGCGTTAAGGAGATACTGAGAACACACAACACATACACAAAAAGCAAAGGAAAGCCGCTTCCAAATGTCATCTGCCGGCAAACGATCGCTTCGTTTGCCCTCTTCTCCGATTCAAGGGCAGGCGAAGCGACGTCGCGGTGCCGCCTCCAACCCTTTGGCTGCCAGTTTCAACTCTGCCAGCGGTGAAGCTTCTTCCTCTCCTTCGCAGGCGGGCATCAACGTTCAAGCTTCTACAGCGTTCGATCCAGCAACGGCATATCACAACCTCCCACAAATGTCTCTCCAAGCGCCAACGTCCATCGTGAGCGCGGCATCTCAAACACAGTCAACCCGTTCGCGGCCGTCGCCGTCGCTCCGCATGGGAAGCTGCTCTCTCGACGAAATGCTGCTCTCCATCCCCCCAGGCCTCGCGTCCGCCGAACACACCCGCCGCAAAGACGCGCTCCAGCACGAAATCAGCTTTCAGGAGCGTAACCCGCCGATTCTCCCGCCGTCTCAGGTCCAAGATTTGCCCCCGAAGCCGTTTATAGCGGATTTTCTAAAGTTCCCCGATGGTATTAGCGATCCGGAGCGTCTGCAGATTGAGACGCGCAACAATGAGATTGCCGCTGAGCACCAGAAGATTGACCGTCAGCGGAACAACCAGGCGGCTAAGAAGTCCAGGCAGGCTCGTCTTGAGGCGTTGAGTAATACGCGGGTGCTGCTGAATGAGAAGACGGCGGAGTGTGCTTGGTTTAGGATGAAGGTGCTTGCGTTGGGGGGGAGCACGGCGGACTGGGGCATGGTGCCTGCGGGGGTCAAGACGAGGCTTGTGAAGGAGATTGATGGGCGGGTGAAGGTTGTTGAGGGGGAGGTTGCGGACGCGAAGAAGAGGGAGGAGGCGAAGAAGAGGGCGGATAGGAATAAGCGGAGGGCGGAGGCGAGGAAGGACGATGAGGGGGAGCAAGGGGAGCAACATCTAGAGTCTTCAGAGTAGGGGAATGGGGATCAAGGTGTTGGGTTTGGGGTGTTTGGAATGGAGTTTGAGGATTACGAGGATATGGAGTGATTCTTCTTTGTTATGGACGGTGAGGGAAAGATGGGGGAGGCGTTTGAAAGAGGATCGAGGAGGACGGGGATTGAAGATATGTGTTGGAGAAGGATGCTTTTTTTTTTCCCCTCTGAGATTGCTTTGGCTTTGGAAGAGCGAGAGCTTGTTGTTGAAGCTGGTTCTCCACGATGCTACATGAAAGGGGGGGATGGGGTTGTTGAACAATGGCAAAAGGAGAATAGGGGTGTTTTTGACATTCTGATCAAACGTTGACGAGGGTTTTCTTCATTCTGCTCTAAGCTCTAGATGTATGAAAATGGAAATCCAATGTTCTCTAAACCAGGAATATAAAAAGGAAGAAGAAAAAAAAAACTCCAACAGTTTCCCTCCTCTTGAATCTATATCCCGTGTCTTTCGCCCGCCCTTGATTACATTTCTTCGTCATGATGTTGCCGTTGTTGTTGGGTTTGTTTGCTTTCGCTGTTTTCCAAGATTTCATCGTCAAAAGTCATGTCCGTCTATGCACCAGCCTGCCCTTGACCCAAACCCGCTTCGTGTTCCGGTCGTCTCCATTGTACAGCCACTTGGCCACTCTATCACCCCAAGTCTCCCACCCAAACATGTCGACAAAACCATGGCCATCATCTTCATCTTCGTGGTGCACCTCCCCATCGTCGTCGACTTCGTTCAGGGTCACGAGCTGCGCGTCCCACTCCATGCCTACCTCGAACCCCCCAACCTTGTCTTGCAGCCCTACGCATCGAGCTCCTCCCCTCGTGGCGAGATACAGCACCTCTTCGACCGTCAACTTGGCCCTTTCCTTCTCCTTCTCTTCCTCAATGGCCATGGCTACGTGCCGGCTCACCATGGCGGCCTGTCTGGCGGCCTCCAGGATCGAAGGGCTGTATCCGCCGCTGACGTCCGTCCCCAGGCCGACATCGATGCCCTTGTCCCACATCCACCGCACCCTCGCCTGTCCGCTGGTCAAGCACGTGTTGCTGCACGGACAGTGAGAGACCTTGGTCTTGCTGTGCGCAATCAGGTCCGCCTCCTCCTCGGAGATGTGCACCGCGTGAGCCAGCACCGTCCGCGGCGTGAGCAGGCCACACTTGTCGTAGACGTCGGTGTACGACGTGGTTTCCGGGAACAGCTGCGCCACGAGCTGGATCTCGCCGGGGTTCTCCGAGACGTGCGTCTGGATGGGGAGGCCCGTCTGGCGATGCAGCTCCGCCAGGCCGCTCATGGCCTCGGCCGAGCACGAAGGCGCGAAGCGAGGCGTCAGGATGGGCGAGACGACATGGAAGCCCGGGTCGATGCGGCGTATGTGGTCAATCACCTGCTGCGTCTTCTCCACGCTGTCGCCCGCAGAGGCGTCGCGGTAGTAAGCGGGATTCATGTCCGGGCTGTCCATGCACACGCGGCCAACAAACGCCCGCTGGCCCATGGACAGGCACAGGTCCGCCAGCAGGTTCGTCGCGGCGACGTCGATGGTGGCGAAGTAGGCTGCCGTTGTGGTTCCGTGGGAGAGCGTGCGGCGGATGCATCTGGCGTACACGCGGCGCGCCTTGGCGAGGTCCTTGAGGCTGGCTTCGAGGGGGAACGTGTACGTCTCGAGCCATTCCAGGAGACTTGACTTGCCAAAGACGCCGGCGTTGGCATACTGAGAAGCGTGGATGTGAGTATCTGTGGTGATTCCTGTCAGTCTAAACGTCCGCCGGCAGCAATGGCAATGATGATAATGATGGTGTATTCCCTCAAGACTCACCCACGAAGCCCGGGAAGAAAAACTGTCCCTCGGCCGCCTCCGTCACGTCCACCGCTGCCTCGTCCCAGCCGAGCTTGGCCAGCAGCCGCGCCTTGGCCTCGCTCGAGTCGTGCGCATCCCGCTCAATGGCCGCAATCTTGCCGTGGGCGTCGACGGCGATTGCTGCCTTGTGCAGGAAATCCAGGTCTTGCTGCGTCTTGGAGTGGACAAAGGTGCCCAGCAGCAGCAGCTTTCTCTGCGGTGACATTGTTTGGTTTCAGATGTGAATGTGAATGTGTTGTCTTGTGTTTTCGTTTGGTTTCTCTCAGTCACACAGACACAGACACACACACACTCTCTCTCTCTCTCCCTCTCTCTTTCGATATCTCAAAATGGCTTCAATCCCGTTTCTGGCTCTCGCATCTCCTTGTGAACATGAAGCTACCTTATGTATCTTGGTAGCTTTGATCAGCCTCCTTTCAACGCATGTACGACTTAATAGGAGACCAACAGACGTCAGCAAAGCCCCACAGCCGCAGATGCAGATACAGATGCAGATGCAGATGCACTTCGATCTTATGCCACTGCCGTCAAGTGCAAATAGTAACACGCAATTCTTACCGTCAGCTGTTCAATCTTCAATTCCGCAAAAATCCAGCAAAAAAAAAGAGAAACTCCCATCAACAAGCTGCTCCCCCAGAGCTCTTAAATAGATGCCCACAAGCCCCCCAAAGATCCCCCCCATGGAGGCCCGGGATTAAGGATTTGGGGGAAGCGCCAAAAAGAGCAAACAAATTCCCCCCAAATGCAAGGGACAAACTTGTCAAAAAGCGCGGCTAAGCTCGGCGGTCGCCGTGGACCGACGATGGCAGAAACGGTTTGCACCGCCATTTGTCTGCTGAGTCAGCTGACAAGAACTTGACATTGCATGTGCATATGAATCAGCTTCAGCTTCATTCGACCAACAGTTCCTCCAGCTTTGAATACAATGTGACTGACTGATGAATGGCATCTTCCATTGGACCAATCGATTAATCAATCTTGCATGGATGGTCAAGTTTAGTGCATGTGAGTACAGCTTTGATTGTCGCACAAGATGTCCTCGTGCAAGATACGAGGCAACTCACGACAAGATACTAAGTGTGCCTCCTCGACATCACTTATACAGCTCTCACACCTCAACAACATGAACAACTAAAACCAAGCTATTTTCTTCATTACGTCTATTGTCATGGTAAATTCATCACTAATATAAAAAAGAACCCGCAGGCATCTATTGGCCTCCCATTCCATCCATCAAAATAAAATAAAAAAACATGTAGTAGTACCACCCTTTCCCCCCCATATACGCCACTGGCTCTCTCTCACTCATCCTCACTCATCAAAATGTCTGCGTCGCGCCGTATATTTTCTTCCCCACCATTTAAGCAGCCAGTCCAGCGCCCTCGTGATCGGCACTGCCGCCGCTCTCACTCCCAGTCGACTCCTCATCCTGCACATACTTGTCCCAGTTGGCCAGCACCGCTCCAATTTTGGGAGAGTTGGTCAACTTGTACACATCCTCAAAGTATTCCTTGGTGAGCGCAAAAGGCTTGGCCGTCACGTTGGGGATGTACTTGCCCACCAGCTTGGACGGGTCAATCGTCGTCTTGTGGATCTTCTTGAGCAAAAAGGATCGGAAGGGCTTGACGCCGGATCGCAAAAAGGTGGAGTGGAAGGGCACGTCGATGCCTCGGAGCGGGATGGTGGCAAAGCCTCGCTCCAGCTCCAGCGGCAGAGGCTTCTTGAGCGTTGCCTCAGCGCATCCGCGGATAATCTCGCGCAGAGCGCCCTTGGCCTCCTCAATGTTGCTGCGCATCTCCTCCACGTCAATCTTCTGCATCTTGAGGAAGTTGGTAACTCCGCCAAGAGTGTCCAGCGCGCGCAAATCACCAGCGCAGACGTACTGCATGTTGGCAATGTTGTAGTTGACAATCTCCAGCAGCCAGCCAGTCTCTTCCGAGATGTTGTTCACGACAAACTGGAGCGCCTCTTCGTTGAATGTCTTTGAGATGCGGCTGGGGTTGACGGCACACATGGAGTAGTTGGAGCGGCCAGAGGCATCACGCTCCACAGCCACCTGCATCGTCAGACCACGGTAGAAGACGACCGAGACCAGACTCTCAATGGGCATCACGTCAGCCAGGGCAGCCAGGGCCGAGTATTCACCAAGAGAGTGTCCGGCAAAGGTGCTGTCTCGGGGGACAAGTCCCTTGGACTTCATGTCCTCGAAACTGGCCTTTTCCATCAGCGTCAAGGCAGGCTGGGTAAACTGCGTGGCCGACAGGAGGCCGGTGGGTGACCTGTAAGTGTAAAAGGTCGTCTTCTCGTCAATGTCCTTGAAGATTCTCTCCGACTTGACAGTGCCATCGGCCGCCACAGTCTCAAAGGTCATGGCCATGTAGTTCTGGCGAATGGCCTTACCACGAGGACCACCAAAGTGCACGGTGAGCTCCTTGGGGTTGTTCTTGACAATGTTGGTGATGGAGAAGCCTTGAAAATAAGCCTGTTAGTAAAAAAGAAAGACATACCAGATATAGGAGTGTTCGAGACTTACCATAGTTGTCGAGCAGGTACTTGTCGGCACGGTCCCAGACCTCCTTGGCAACAGGGCTGCTGCCATAGAGATCCATACCCATACCTTGCTCCTGCGAACCCTGTCCAGTAAAGACATAGGCAGTCACCGGCTGCTCCACCTCGGCCTCGCCCAGCAGAACCTTCTCCTCCGTCTCGGCGTTGATGGCCTCGAGCTTGATAATCTTGCGGCCCGTCACCATACCCACGTGCTGCAGCTTGACTTGGATGGCGTCGTTGGGGAGAACCATGCCGACCAAGGAAGCGTGGAAGCTGCGCACTCGGCCAACGTCGTTCTCGGCAGCCCACGTCTCAACCAGGCTTCGGACCGCGGCACTGCTGTACATGCCGTGGGTAATGGTGCCAGGAAGGTTGGCATACTCTGAGAAGACGCGGGACACGTGGATGGGGTTGTAATCGCCCGACACGCGTGCATATGTCTCGTTGGAAGCCGGTGCTCGGAGCTGCAGGGGAGTTCTGCCGCTCAGGGGAATGGCATTCTCAAAGTTGATCGGCTGGTCCAGCAGGGTACCGTGGCGCTCAAGGTAGTCAATCACGGGGTTGCCGTGAGACTCGCCGGCCTCGTAGT